TTAACTAAATATGAAATGAAATACTAAACTTTTAATAATCTTATTCTCTTAATTCCCAAATGAGCTAAAGACCTAAATAGTACATAAAGCTTTTATTACTTAAATCTCATAATATTAAACTATGTAAATTCTAGGGTATAAATCTCATTATATTGAAATATATAAATTCTAGGGTCATATTGTTCTGCCATGAACTAACAGTTAAACCACTTATCAGAAGATTCTAACATGCAATCAGCAAGGAACGAACATGAGATATAAGCATTTAATTGTCTTCATACAGGAAGTGTCCCCAGATGGCTGACGATTGCACATGGAGGGAGATCAACATATATTTAACCTTAGTCCCGCTACAACCTCAACATATAAAAAATTCCCTAATGCAAGCATTTCCGTTTTAATTTCTTTAGCAAATATGAACTCTAAGAACAGTGGATTAAAATCAGCAAAAGAGTATGACATCACCACACTATTTGTAAAGATAACTTCATATCAAGAATAGTTTGATGTATATTTTATTGAATATTACATCCTTATATATAGATTTTGTGAGACGAAAAAGGAAATAAACAATTAATTATAATTAATTACATAGGGTGCATTTTACTCTTATACTATTTAACCTAATTTACTCATTATTTAACACCCCACAACCAAGAAAATAATCATCCCCCAACATTCAAGCCTCTAGAAATCCCACTAATGCAGAATCATAACAAGTTAAGATGGAATATTTCTAGCAGTAGAAGTGTTCTATAATGTTCTGTACGTGTTTTAATTGAAAGCCATCAAAGGCTTAACACAAATGAGATACTTCAAATCCATCACTCTCATCGTGCCTTGGCTCCAGACAACTATGTAATGTGTCTTAGAGGAGGTGAGACCCGTTCCCAAATTTGTTTGTTGCCACTTAGCCAGGAGGATATGGATCAACCACGAAATTGTTCAGTTTGAACTGGATGGGGCCCCCTATAGTCGAGTAGTTTATCTGCTCTAACATTTATGGGGTAGGGGTGAGGAAAGAACCTAAACCTCTGGCAATGAGCAATATTTGCCGGACTATGATGTATTTGGCTACAATAAATCCCAAATTTTCCATGACTGTACTAATTCCTCAGATGAAACTTTGGGAAGGACAAATTTCAAGGCAGAATTATGAGCAAAGGCACATGGAGATTACCTGTACATTTGTCTCACCATACTCCATTGGAACTGGGAAGCTATCATATACAGCTCTTAGGATGCTACTATTATGCGATTGCAGTTACTTTTTCTTCTTTCGTCCATTTGAAGAGGATACCTAATTCTCTAGTTTTGTATTCTTTTCCCTCTCTTCTTAAATAAAATTTCTTCTTTTATCCTAATAAAATGATTTGTATACTCATATTTTATAACAAATATTTAGAGCATATATGGGAAACTTACGAATATTACCTAAACTTCGGAATTATTTAGAATGAGGCAGCATCGTACTAGTGGTTAAATGATTCAACACCTTACTTTCTATTAGTTTTTAGATGCTAGGTTTAGTATGACCTAAAGAAGGCAGCATTTTTTAGTTGCCAACTTCTCCAACTTCTCCAAGATCTTAAGATTGCTAATGACTCTTTTAAACACCCCCCTGCCCCCCTTTGCCTATATAAAGATATTGAATGAAGATTATAGTGTTATTGGAAGAGAATTGAAGCATTTCCTTCTCTAAATTTTAGTTTCTCTCCCTTTCTTTAACCTCTTCATTTTCTTTATTCCACTTTTACCTCTCTTCTCTGAATCTCTCCTCGTTCTATCTTAAACTTTGCTAAAGCAGCACTACTTACTAATTCGTCATCTTGAAATTGTCCAACTAAATCCTACATCACCTACCAACCATTGGGTTCTTAAACAACTCAATCTGAGTGTTGCCACCAAGAGCGATGCCAAGTTAGGTAGGCCAAGATTAAACGTCATACCAAATAACTGCACAAGCCTAAAAACGGTGTTATACCCAATATTTATCCCAACAAGCCCGCTCTTAGTGAGATTGATATATATTCCAAATAACTCTCATGAACCTGTAATAGAGAGAACATTGTTGATGATCGGTCACTATCCAAGAAAACAAGGACTGGTACCATCCAAAATTGTAAGTGAGAGGCCCGACTGTTCTTCGACACCCAAACCTTTCACCACACATCTCTTGCAATTTCAAGATAACATACAACTAAGAATATCCATCATTAGAGAAAAAAGAGAGATGGTTGCCTTGTCTCAGCCCCCCTTTAGCCACAAAACCAAGATTCAGGCTCCTTGTTGATATTCAATAAAAATACACAAAAGAGAGACAACCACCAATCCAGTGCCTGCATCTATCATTGAAACCCTTCCTACACATGACTCTGTCGAAAAGAAAAAAAATCACAATTGACTCTATCATAAGCCTTTTAAAATCCAATATACGGATAAGTCTCTTGCCTTTAGATCTCTCAACATACTTCATTACATTATTAGCAATAAGAATCTCCCACCCCCACACCACCAAAAGAATAAAAAATAAACCAAACAAATGCATGTTGATTATGAAAATAAACTCATTCAAACTCCTCCAATCTAGTAAGAGCACC